CCCCGTTCCTCACGAACAGGGACGTGTTGGGGGGACGCAGGTAGCGGGACATGATGGCGGCGGGGTGTCAGCCAGGGGTTCTAACGGGCTTGGCAAACCGTCCGCGACTCCAGCCGAGACTCCCCAGACACACGCACGCACGCACACAGCCCGAGGGCTCCGCTACGGCAACCGCCGCTTCTCGCGAGACTTCACTCCCGCCTCCGCCCGCTCCTGTCTCCGCGCAATGCCCGGACCGGGAACGGTTCTTTCCCGCGAGATCAGCGGGCGTGAGTTGCGCATGCGGAGGGCTGGAGGCGGCGCCGCGCCCTCGCTCTCATTCATTGGCTTCTGAGCTGCCTCTTGCCCTCCCCCCAGCCTGCTTTCTTTCTTTAGCGCTTCATTTTCCCGCCTATTTCTGCCTAGCATCTTCTCCCCGCCCCCCAGGTCAGAGAGCAGGTGTTTTAGCACCTACGCCAGACTGCAGTTATTACAAAACGGACACATTTGAGAAACGTTATAACTCAGAAAAACTGCCCCAAAGTTTTCTGCCCGGTCCAAGTTACGCCCTGGCTTTTATTGGGTTGCTGACCAGCAAGAGAAGAGTTCACAGCTTCTTGTATGAGTTCAAACCGCGGAGGTGAGGGGTCCTGCGAGCCTGCGCCTGCGCCAGTGCCCGGCTGCCTTTGCCCGCATTCTTCCTGGCCGTGTCCTCCCCTCATGCCCTTTCCTCCCGGCTAAAGGCGGTTCCCATCCTCTTGTTAGGACCAGACCTCACATTTTAGTCTCGATGGTAACCGATTCTTGGGTACGCACGCTGTCTGTATTGCGGTGTTTCTCAATCTTTTTGTTTTCAGGACTGTTTGCATTTATACACTATAGACGCCAAGATAACTTTTTCTTTTACCAAGAAAAGTGGCTAACTCTATTAAAATCTGATATTGAATTTATTTGTTTATTTTTATATATTTTTTTGCCATAGGGTATGTGCTTTCCCTATAGAGAGACAGACAGACAGAAGGAAAATATCCCTCCCCCTTCCAAGACCACACCTCAATCCCTTCTCTTCTGGCCTCGGGGGATTTTGGGCACACATGCCCACACACACATGCCTGGTATGATTTTCATGCCAGGGGGTCTGGGACTCCCAACTGTGGCTGGTCACGTGGGAGTCTAGCGGAAGTCCAGTGTCTTAACCACTACATCACCTGCTGGTCCCCTGGGTTAGAATCTAAAATGGAGAAAACTGCACAGTCTGGTGGTGCTCCAGACACTCCTGTTTAATTGGGTGAAGGTTTAGAACAGAGTCTACTGCATAGTAAGTACCCTATAAATGTGAGCCGGACTGGCTGCATGCTTTGCAGGGCACAGTGCAAAAGTAAACTGCAAAGTCCCTTCTTCAAAATGTGTTAAGAATTTCAAGAGGAAAACAGATAGGGAAGTCCAGGTCAAAGTCCTTCCGAACATGGGGTCTATCCCACTGCACCGGTGGCATGCTATGGAGTCCTAGATGTTAGCAAGTATTGTGACGATTGCCTTGAGAAAGAATAGGAGTGAGGGGGCAGACATATTTACTCACTGGAATTGCTCTCTGACTCACATGTGAAGTACCCAATTGATCTTTTGTGCTTTAGGCTCCCAGAACCTAGAACAAATTGATGGTGGGAAGAGTAGGGAGAATGTGAGTTGCTTTCAGCAGCTGGGCCTGAGCGAGGCAGTTTACTGAGCTGCAGACTGCTGGGTAGGAAGGGGGACGGTAGACTGTGATGTTTTGGGAGTCCAGTGTTCTCTTACAAAAGTGCTGCCCACTGTGAAAAGTGGGCTGTGTGCATTTAGCTCTGAGTGCAAAACCAGGACTTGTAATCTTTTTGAAGGCCCAAATGTTAATCTCTGAAAATGGCCTGTTAGCACTATACCTCTTCTGGAAGAAATTATATTTTATTGTGATTTATATGTCAGAAACCACTTTCTTTGGGTCCTGTTTTCAGAACGTAATTATACGTAAATATGTAACTATATTTCTAAGATCCAGGATCCTGGATCCTTTCTTTTCCTTTGACAAAAAATTTTTTTTTAGCTTTTGTGATAGGTTGCATCTGCTTACCAAAGTGAGACAGAGACACAGAGAGGAAGAGTAAGAAATCAGTCCCCAGTGGGGATGGCCATATAGCAATCCCTTCTCCTCTTGCTCTTGGGATTTTGGGCACACATGTATATGCACCCAGCATGATTTTTTTAAAGTAAAGAAGTATTTATTCTATTTGATTTGATTTATTATTATTTTTTTTGGAGAGATTTTTGCTATAGGGCACGTGCGCTCACCAGACAGACAGAGAGAGACATAGAGACAGAAAGCGAGAAATCACCCCCCAGGGGGGATGGTCACGCCGCAATCCCTTCTCCTCCATTCTCCTCTCGGGATCTTGGGCATGCACGCACACGTGCCCGGTGTGAGTTTTAAGCCACCGGGTCCGGGACGTGAACTGCGGTCGACTACATGGGAGTCCAGCGACATAGCCATTACGCTAACTGCTGGTTCCCGACTTGATTTATTTTTTAAGAATTATTTTATTTAACTTTATCCATCTGTTTATTTATTTATTTATTTATTTATCTTTAATTTGACAAAAGAAGGACAGAGAAAGTGAGAAAGCAAGCCACCAGGTGTGGGACTCAAACCGTGGTAGGCCATGTGGGAGTCCAGCATTCTTAAACATCATACTACCGGCTGGTCCCTTTTTATTTATTTTTTAATTTGAAGAGAGAGATTGTGAGAAAGTGAGAAAGCAAACCACCAGGTCGGAGTCTTGGCCATGTAGTAGTCCAGCACCCTCAACCACCACACCATCTGCCGGCCCCACCCCCAGCATGATTTTTAAACCTCTGGGTCTGGAACTTGAACCATGGAGTCAGATCTGGTGGAATCCAGTTGGATTACCTCAATGCCACCTGCTGGCCCTGAAGCAGTTCTTTCTTGATTTCTGGACAATGGCACACACACCATTCTCAGTGAGCCAGGCTGCTCTCTGGAAGGAGACGTGCAGAAACGAATCCCATGTGTTAAGTTAGTGGAATTATGAGCCTTTCTCCATAAGCAGACCCAAAGTCTCGAGTCAATGCAACAGTAACTTTATTGGTACATATGTTTCTTTCAGACAACTGCCATGGATAGTGCTAGGTGCTTTGTCTCTGTCTCCTTGGGCAGACAGTCAGAAGCATGTTCCTTTAACTTGTATTAAAGACATGCCTGGTGTTTCCAATAAGCCTTATGACTCCAGTGAGTAGGCATCGAGCTAGGTTCCTCAGACTGGAAGGACTTTGGGGCTCTTGTTCAGACATTCCTTACTTGGGAGTTGGAAACTTAGCACATACATACACACACATAGAACACTTGTATACACACTTGCCTCTGTGCAGGCTCCCAGTAGTTTCGTTCTGTGGGTGAATTCACAGCACGCGCACACGTATGTTCATCATATTCCTGTGTGATCTATCCTAGTGTATAGATTGCTACCTTGATTCTGTTTAAGGTAACAATCAGGACCAGCAGTTGGCGTAATGGCTGTGTCGCTAGGCTCCCATGTAGTAGACCACGGTTCGAGTCCTGGACCCGGTGGCTTACACTCATGCCGGGCGCATGTGCGTGTATGCCCAAGATCCCGAGAGGCGAATGGAGGAGAAGGGACTGCAGCGTGGCCATCCCCCCCAGGTGGTGATTTCTCGCTTTCTGTCTCTCTCTGCCTTTCTGGCAAGTGCACGCGCCCTATAGCAAAACACCTCTCCAAAAAAACAAAACAAAAGCAGTAATTTGTTATGGGACCAGGAGATGGCAGGTTACAACATGGCTAAGTCATGGTTACATCACTGGACTCTAACATGGCTGACTGTGGTTCAAGTACCGGACTCAGTGACTTGAAATTCACACCAGCGGGACCAGCAGCTACCGTAATGGCTATACTGA